AACACCACAGGAGAAAAACATCATATATGACAGCAAGTCACCCCCTTCTTGTCCATGGCTTCTCATTTGTTTGGAGGAGAAAAGCTAACAGAGTTTGGCATCAACCAAAGCGCAAATATTCAAAAAGTTCTTAATCACCACAAATTGGTATTCTTATTCACTGTGATTCTTTTCTCTGAAGATGGTCCGTGATGCGTTGGAAAAGCAGGTCCCTCCCTCCCTCCCTCCCTCCTTCCTGCCTGGCAAAGATATGAAGAAGGAGCCACCCTCGGCCTGTTCTTTAGTGAGCAGCTCTCAGGCACAACTTGAAGGGCTACTGGAAAGATACAGAAACTTCCGCAAATATTAACGGTGCGTAAGGATTCCCGACACTTGGAGGAAAGTAACTCTGCTTTTGAGCAGTGAGGATATTTAACAATATTTTCCTTTTTTTTTTTTTTTTCCAGATTTAAATCCTGGAGAACGGTTTCTCTTTCTGAGACCTGACTTTATGGTACCCAAGAGCTGTGATGCTAACCCAACGCGGGGCTTTCTACTGACGCATCTTCCTCCACGCGTTTCAAATTTTGTACCAGTGCACCTCCCCATGTTCAATGCTTAAAGCGAGATGTCTTGTGCATCTCCTTTGCAAACACATCCACTTGTCTCTCTCCGAATGGGGAAGAGTCTGCCTTCCCAGCAATGGAGGAGGAAAACCAAACTGATAAATCTCAAATTCCCACAGAAGAGTCAGTTTTGGGAGAGATAACCCTTAGGAAAAAAGCCTCATTATTTTCAAATACGGGGGTACCAAATGAGTATAGTTAAAGAAAGGACATTTTGAATTTAGTCATTCAGCAAGAGATACACAGAAGGGAGACACTTCTAGAAAGGCACGGGGTAGCCTTAGGTGCCAGAGCTCTAGTTGTCTGTAATTCCACAGTGAAAAGCGTGTGCGAATGCTATTTGCAGGGAACAAGGGTGAAGTCGCAGCCCTGCACCCCTTCAGGTCAGTCAACTGCCTTTCTGTCCCTCCCACCATTTTACATGTAACTGGTTCTACTGGATTCCCAAATAAAGAAGCCTTCTGAAGGTATCAGCCTGGCCAGCTCCAACATGACCCTAACTCCCGGGCACCATCATAGGATCAACCTGAAATATGATGCGGTAGAAATTTACAGTAAGGAACTGGTAGATTTGTTTCAACTTGGAAGTAACTCTGTATCTGCAAAATTTTAAATGTGAGCATCACAGAATCATTTTCTACCTACTCTATTAGCATCAGAAAAAGCACTCGAAACCAAAGGAAAAAGTCAATAGTCAGGTCCTCTTCTTGCCTGTGCAAAGAGCCCTGTCATAAAAGGAGGGCTATACAGGCTCAATTTGTCAAGAATGATTCACCTTAGATGGTCTTCCTTTAATTAGTTTTTCCAAGACATCGATGACCTATCATGATCATGTAAATAAAATGGAAGCATTTGATTTTGCCATGCAGTTATTTTACCTAAATTTCCTTACTCCTTTCCAGGAACAAAGTCCAAACTGAACCACTGCTGCAGTGTGTGTAGCATATGGGAGGACAGGGTCTCCTGGGGCAGAAACGTTCAACTCTGGACTCATGAAACCTCTAGGCACCATTCTAAGCATTTGTAAAACACAGTGAATGTAAAAACCTCTTTCCAGCACAACCCTTTGGAAGCAAGAGGTCACTGAATATTCTCTCTTGCATCAGGCTTGAATCGTTACCTGCGTTTTCTCTGAGGGGATGCGGCTTGCCTGTGGTGGGGGCAGAATGAGTAACAACCAGCCACATTACGATGCCACACTGCTCTCCGTCTCCAAGAACAAGCTGGAGGAAACAGTGGGGCAGGCGTGGGGCTACGTGCTGGGGGATGTGTCCGGCGGGGGGAAATCCCATCTGTAAAGGTTGAACCCAGAACACCAATGTGGCCCAGCTCTGAGGCTGGGGGCTGCATGCCCGCAGCAGCTACACTTCGAGTTCACGGATGCTCTAGGCTGTGAAAGCTTCTGGTTGCTTCTGTTCAGACTCATGAAAGTTGTTGCCCAGAGCTCTGAGTGGGTAGCTGGGGGCCAGATTGAGCAGAACTAACTCTTTCTGCAAACAAATATAAAAAGAAGCGCCCTGGGGCCTGGATACCCTGTTCAAGAATCTTCAGAGCATCTCTACATTGTGGGCTAGGAATCTTCTAGATGTCCATCATTAAGGAGCCAGCGTGACTTGGTTACCCCCTACTCACATGCCTTGGTTAATTACCGGGCTGAATTTGAATCTTTCTGGTTCACAAACAGCAAGGTCTGGGTGGGAGCCAGGCTGAAGGGCACACGACTACTTGTGAGCCACACACGTTTGGTGCACATATTTCAGTGTGTAAGCAAGACCTAGGAGGACATGCTAAAGCTTCCTAAATGAAGAATTCTGCTGAAGCTCCTTAGATTTCTCCAGCTGACCACAAAAGCACGTATAAATTGATGGCACCTCACTCTGAACCGCCTTTAGTGGTCAGCTTGGCATTCCGTTGTTATTTGATGCACTTGAAAGTTATAAGATACATACTTGCTAATTTTCTTTTACTCCTTTGAATTCGTCCAAATTAACGCAGCTTCAATTTCGTCATCCTGCCTCTGTCATCTGTCTTCTCTTCATCCCAGAAAGGGATCCCATTCCTTGTTTAGAGGAGATTTTTCATTGGCTTGCCAACACTCCCTCAAGTTTTACTCGGATTAAGGTGCTGTCTGAATCCGATCAGAAGTTTTCAGTTCGCATCCACACATTGGTGACAGTCCCTCTGCCTGTCACTCTGGGCTGGATCGGAACCGAGAGGTCCCCTTGTGCAACAGTGTCATTCTCAGATGGGGACTGAGGTTCAGAGAGGTGAAATCATGCCCGTGTGTTACAGCCGGATTTACCCAGAGCCGGCCAGTATTTGAACCCCCAACTCAATACTAAGTACCTCAGATGAGGATTGGAATCAAAGAATCTTCTGATTCCTGCGCTTCCTACAAACACACGGATTATTTATTCTTGCCCAGTTGTTCTTGTGCCCTGTGTGATTCTGGTGAAAACACCTGCCAGGAGCCTGGCCTCTGATACGGGTCCAGAAGGGCAGGAGACAGATTATCTGGTCAGTTGAAGAAAACCATTTCGTTTACTCAGCAAAGGAGGGACAATCTTCAGCGCTTTGACTCCTTTTAGATAAATGACCTACGGTTAATTATCTCCCAGCTTTTATCCTTTAATCTCTAGGTTTAAATTCTCTAGTAGTAATTACCCCTAACCTCTCCCTGTAATCACAACTGCACTCAAAAGCAAGTCTTCCTGCAGCAATTAAAAAAAAACAAAACAAAAAAACCCTCATTTTTTTTCACGCTAAACTATGATATCTAATTAGTACAAAAATAATTTTCCCCCTTATCGGGATAATTGCATCTTTAAATATATTTTTCAGACTGGAGAGGTCGGTTGTGAAGGCGTATTCTCGAAGGTTGAATGCGAGCATGTTTTCTTACCCATTCATTTGTAACTTCAATCATAGCTATAAGGGCATCTTCTACTTCGGGAATGCTAAATTATACATTATGTATGTTTCCAAGAACGTCAGATAAATTTTTTTTTTTTTTTTTTTTTGCGGTACGCGGGCCTCTCACTGTTGTGGCCTCTCCCGTTGCGGAGCACAGGCTCCGGACGCGCAGGCTCAGCGGCCATGGCTCACGGGCCCAGCCGCTCCGCGGCATGTGGGATCTTCCCGGACCGGGGCACGA